GGAAGGGGCGAGGGGCTCCGGGCCTGGCTCCTCCGCTGCAGGGAGGAAAGGCACTGTGGAACTAGAACAGAGGGGCTACTCGTTTTCAAAACTACCCCCGAGCAGGAAGTTTTGTGCTAAAGAACAGAAACGTGATTAAAAAAAAAAAACAAAAGACAGAGACAGCTGTGGAATCAGTTGTATTGTCTTGCCATTTTACACGTGCCCTAAGAAACTAGATATTCTGTAAGGCAGCTCTGCTGCATCTAGGAAAATAACTTCACATTACAACACTGCAAGCCCCTTATAGCCGCTTGCTTATTTTCTTTCTTGTCCATCTCTTAGAACACAACAGGAGTAGCAGGAATTAAAATCGGGACAGCATTGCCGTATTCTTATTGCTCATATAATTCTGGAGTATTCCAAAGAGTGTCAGTACGGTTTTCCTAACAGTTTTCTTCATCAAGCATTCTTATAGATTAAAAAGTACATCCTTAGGATCAGGTTCCTCATCTTCAGGCTCTGCATCCAAAATAACAGCTACTTCTGAAAATTTTACTCCTTTCAATTCCTTTTTAGGGGTGCACGTTGTGTAATCAGGTGTTAAGGAAAGAGCTGACTCTTGATTTGTATCTCTCAGAAAGCAATCCTGCAAGAAAACAGAATGCAGATGAGGCAGGAAGCCACAAGCGACAGAGGGCGGACAAATTCTAACCAGTAGAAGTTGTATAACTTTTAGATACATATTCTGTCTCTGAAGTTTGCTTTTAAGGCTGCAAAGCTTTAGAAGAAGCAGGTGAGAACCCTTTGCTGTACACATTCCGGAAAAGATGAAAGAGAGTCACTGTTCTCTGGATCACAAAGTCCTTCCTTCTAAGCAGGGACAAAGAGCTCCTCCAAGATTTTCATTACTTCACGTAAGATGATTTTGGGGTTTTTTTAGTTCCATCACAACTTTACTTTTTTGATAAGTCTTTCAGTTATTTGATGAATAATGATAGAATATCATTATTCATCTCCATTCTTTCACTCTACCTTTCACTCAGTTTTTTTGCAACCGAAAAGCTAATTACCTGTTTTGTTTTGAATTCCACAGTGGGCTGGACATCTATGTTTCTAGGTTCAGCACTTTTTTCAGATGGTACATTCTTGTCATGGTCGCTGTTGCAATCCAGTGTCTCGAGGTAATTGCATTTTTCGTCAGCCTGAAGTATGTCTTTGTCAGCACCACCTCGTTTGGTGTCTTCCATGTTGCTAAATCCTATTCTTTCAGTTTTCCTGAGAGTTAAGAGAATTCATAACACCTTGGGCTTGCAAATAGTTAAGTGACAAAAATCTTAGCCTCTCTAAAACAGAGTAGCATGTACACTGATCTCAAAATTACTGGGATTTTACCCAAAGGAATGTTAAGTAGGTTCTTGTATCCTGAAGGTTTTTTCTGCATAAGGCTTAACAGTTTGCTAAATGGTCAGTAGAAATTCACCCATGTCATTTTTCTATACAAGATTAAAAGGTGTTAGCTTCATAGAATCATAAAATGGTTTGGGTTGGAAGGGACCTTAAGGATCATCTAGTTCCAGCCTTCAAGTGCACAGTTTTTAACTTATACTTGTAAGGGTTCTTAAAAAAAAAAAAAAATTAAAAAAAAAATCAGCCTATACACTAGTGAAGGATACAAGGAAAATCCTGTGTTACCAGAATAAACTAGAACCACATCTTTTGATCTGTTGTTTTTCATAAATTTGTGATATCAGCGTTCTACTTACACATTATTCGTGTGCTCTGGTTTCTGTAAGCTTCTTGGACTTCCATGTTTGTCAGTTGCAGACAGATTATCAATACCTTCCATAATTTCAGCTTGCTTCTTAACCAAAAACTGTTCCTCATACCTTCTAAAAATGACAAACACATTAAAATAAAATTGTTAATTATTTTTTAATATTTACTTTACAGTTGTTTTAAAAACAGAACATGAAGTATTTTTGTCATAAGTTTAATACACAACATTTCTTTTCAGTATTATCCTGGGGCTTAGTTTTGAGTATTCCCTATTTTTCCGTAATGGTAACAGGATAAATACCTGCTGCCCTTTTGGAAATATATGTTTTCCTCTGCTCTGTGGTCCTGCTGCCACTAAGTCAGCAGCAAAACCTCCCGTGATTTCAGCATTCATGGGGTTAGAGGAGACTTATGTGGGCTACTTGTGCCCCCCTTCACAGTTAAAATTTCTGGTATCCACATTTCTCTGTTTTTAAAAGTATTTGTTTCTCTCTTGCTGTGTGACAAACACAAGAAGAAACCAACTTCCAGTTACCTGTAGCTTGTCTAATATCTACAGTACAATGCCAGGCATTTTGATTTATAGCAAGTCTTAGACAATAGTCCATGCGAATATTGGTAATTTATCAGGCAAGTATTTTTCAAGTTGACATTCAAAGTAAACTTACTAGTTTTAAGTCTAAATTACATTGTTAAAGTAAAACTGTTTGTACCTTTTCCTTTTTATAGTATGAAGTAGGTATACCAGGAAAGCTATGAGGATGCAGGCTAGCAGAACACTGAGCACAATCGTTGCAACAAATTCAGGCGTTGCTGAGTCTGTAGGAGCCTCTTGTATGGCAGCAGTAACAGACGTTGAAAATATTTTCCCCAGTTCTCTCTCAATGTTACTCTTCTGCTCCCTAAGTTTTCTGAAGATAGAAGAGTAAAATGCTGGTGATTTATCAGACCTTCATTTTGGCTTGAAGATTAGTGAGAAAATAACAGAATACCCCTCCCTGGTCCACCAAGACCTTTTATGAAGATTCAGACTTCTCATGTCTTTCATTCAGGAAGAATTCTGTTTTCTAGTTACCAGCCCTGGTGCTTATGAACTAGAATGCTGCAAAGCTTGGGAAATTGGACTTGAGAGGTCAGTATCCTCTAAATCCACATCAAGGCAGCCTCATATAGTCTTAAGAGATACCAATAGCACTTTCTTTCCTCATCAAAGGAGAAGGTTCATCCATACAGACTGCTTCCTATGGGCACAGATTCCATTAGTAATACCAGCCAATATTTAAGGGAGGTGTTGAGTCTAGAAATCATGTGTTTAAATAGCAGCTGCCCTTCATAAAATATTTACATAAATATGCATTCATACCACTGTCATGTTATGAAACAAATGTAAAATACACCTAAAATGTAAGTATTTAATCAACATTCTGCAATTCTGAAGTGAAGTCAATATCTATTTTAATATTTTTTCTGCTTCAGCTTTAAAACTGACTTAAATATATTTTGCACAATTAAACAGCCTTATTCATGTTTTTGACAAAGTCTTAAAACTATCTTTCAATAAATGATGAAAGCTTTCTGAATTCTAAAAATTCCATGTAAGCTTTGAGATAAGTCTCAGATAAACTGTTATTTGATCTAAACATCTCCAGTCCAAGACATTAATAATTTTAAAGGAAACAAAACCTAGCTGCATAGCTCTGACATCCAGAAGACAGACTGTGCCATACAGACCTTTTTACATCTTCTGCAGGTACTTCCTGGTTTGCCTCATCAAAAGCAATAATTTTTGCATAGGTTACATCAGTGCTGCTTCTTGCCTTTCTTTCAAACTCGTTGGAATAAACATCAATGATATATACATCCCATGCAAGTTTCTCTTCCAGGACCCTGCCGTCATATTAAGAAAACATTTAAAATTAACTGGGCAATGACAAATTCACTCTGGAAATTAAAGGATAGAAAAGTAGTATTTAATACAACACTTTGCAGATACTTAGCATTTTAATCTAAGCATGTAAAAATGCAGGATTATCACGAGCAAAGGAATTAAGCTATTTGCCCAATATCGTTGAGTGACTGAGTAGCAAAGAAAATCCAATCCTTGTCTCTGGTAATCAAAGATACTTTTCATTGGTAGATGCTAGAGAACTTTTGTACATAGCCTGAAAATTCATAAATAGCTGCCATTCGCATAACTGAACAATTAATTAGAGAAAGGAAGGGTTAACAAACCCTTTACTTAGGTTTCATAACCATAGATCATCTATTTAGTCATGCTTTTCAAAAGCAATATATGGCTCATTTCATGCCTGACATTATTTTTTATAAGTACAGGCAGTGATACCTATAAAGTACTATAAACAGTAAAGGAAATTCAGTCTCATAATCCTCAGGGTTTTCTCCTCTTTTTTCACAGGGAGATTTTTACGCTGGATCAGACCACTGTCTCAGTTAATCCATCATTCTGATAGCAGACAGTACCAGCTGCTTCGAAGAAAGTGGCAGAGCAGCTCTAGGGTTTCAGTTTAATTTTTACCAACAAGAAACCAGTGCTATAATAGTGTCAATGTCACAAACTCATTTTTCCATCCTTCAAAGTGATTTCCCCTCAGAAGCACAGGACTCCATATTTCCCACGTAAATATATGCTTATATATAATCAAATAAAAGATCTTATGTCTTCAATAACATGCCAAAAGGGACAAATTATGGTTTTAATTGTAGTGCAGCCATCCACACACATCACTAGCTAATCCCCTGTAGGGCTGAGACTTCCTTGAGAATCTCTGCTGCTGTGCCACAAGGGAGATTTTACATTTGTAGCAAAGGTGGGGTTGGTTTGTGGCTTCTATGCTGTCTGTCTCCACATTCGTATCTTGGGCCTACTATGCACGAAAAACTTTATCCCAGGCTGTTAAAAGTCACAGAAACATTGAGGTGGGAAGAGACCTCTTGAAATCATCTGTTCCAGTGACCTCTTTGACATTTGTCAGCTCAGGCCAAAGCCTTACCAGGTAAAAACGGGTGGCTTCCTGTGAATTCCCTCAAATTTTTCTGAACTACATCAAGGTTTAGGCCCTAATTTTTCATGGGCGCTGGCTGCATCACCTCCCCTGGAGGCTGTCAGACCCCTGTCTCAAAGAGGCTTTAAATTTGTGATTAGATATTGTATCAGAATAAGCTTCACAGTTTCAAAAGTACCTTTTTACTTCTGCGATGTTTCTTTCAACAACATTGATCTTCTGATTAAGTGCCACCACCACAATGTTGTTACTGGAGCTGGAATCAACAGTTACCTAATAAAGAAATTGCATGTAAGGTTTTCTAAAGCATTGGTACCTCTCACAGACTGACTCAAAAAAACCCCCAAAAACAAAAACAACCCACACCAAAAATCCCCTCTGATATAAAATAATTGTCCTCTAAAAGTCAGTCCTCACACCAACCTATTTTTATATGAATGGAAATTGCAACCTCAGAAGATTCTGGCCTGAAGTATGTAGTAAATACCGGTGTGTCTGATGGTGTTAGATATCCACATGGTGTTAGGTTTTTTTTTTTTTTTCGTTATTACCAAACCTATCCTTTCTTGTATACAGAGTTTTGACATGGAAGCAAATCAGGACTATTAAATAGCAATCTTCTTACGCTGACTGTTGTCTGGGCTGTGAGACTTCTTGTGCCTTGGTCTGCAGCTTGGACTTCCAGATAAAATGTTCCAACCTTTCCTGCTACAGCAACTGTAAAAATCTGCCCTGTATTTTCATCGATGTCAAATTCGTTTGCTTGATTATTCACTAAGCTGTACAGCAGAAGTCCATTGTCTCCTGAGTCTGGGTCTGTGGCCTGGGTTTAAAAAAAAAGGTGATTTGTGAAACTCAGCTTGTAGTTTTTGGGCTGCACATTGCTCTTCAATCATAAAACTTTGCAGTTTCTATTTGTAAGACTGGAGTATTCTAGGATAGCGATGTCCTAGACCAAGGGTATAAAAGGGAAAATACATTTACCATAAAGTCTGGAGCAGATTTAACAGCTCCTTCAAACCCAGTTTAACTGTGGAAAAAAATCCAAATCTTTCAAAATATTTCTGTCCTCATGAAGAGCACAGAAAGATACTCTACCTGAACTGTAATAACTGGGTACTTGTATGGCACAGAGTTCGGGATCCGAGCAGAGTAGGCGTTATTCAAAAATACTGGCTCTTCATTTACATCCTGCACCGAGATTGTCAGCATTGCCACATTTTGAGAAAACACACCTGTCAAACAAACACAAGTTCATTACAACAGCAAACACTACCAAAACACAATTTTCAAAGGTGGGGTCAGGCTGTGGCTTTGCCGCAGTGTCCCTGCTGCATGAGAGAAAGAGGGAGAAGAAAGGGAACGCAGCGAGGGTGCACCCAGAGAAGCTCTATTTCGCTTCTCCTGGGGCTTCCGTGAGAGCAGGTGGTTCAAGGCAAAAGGTGACAGCACTGCTCCTCTGTCAGCCCTCTTCAGCTGGCTGTGCTCTACCAGGCAAGGGACAGGTTCCTCCAGCTCCTGCTGAGGAGTCCAATGCCAGCTACTACATTCATTTCTGAGACCACGGTGGGGCCTTGTGAGGGTCTGCACTGTTGAAAGAAGGGGGCTGGCTCTTCTCTGCAAAACCTTGCCCTTCAGCTTTTCATCTTGCACATCAGACTTCTCAGTTAAAGAGAATCATGATTCCTATATTGGGTTGCAAATACAGAAGATGTGTTTGTTGCCCCAGCTGAAGTTGGAATGCCCTTCAAAGCAAGTTACCTGACTGCTGGACTCCAGGGTCAGATGAGATATTTTCATTTGCTTCAATTAAAATCACATACTGAGAAATTTCCTCATAGTTCAAATTAATTGCTGTTCTCAGCTGACCACTTCTTGGATCCAATCTAAAATGACCTGAAAGGAAATATATGCACCCTCATTGTTATAGCTACCATTTCACATGTGTCCCTCCTGCCTCTTGTGCCTTAGTTGCACTTAGGATGCTTCCATGGGTCCTCTACTCTGAAGAATGTGAAATACAACACTTCCACCGGCTGAGCAGCAAAGGAATCGCAGCTGGGGTCCTACCCCAGACCAAACAGGTCTTAAAGGAGCAACACACTTCAAAAAGAACTGCAGCTTCTTGTTGCACAACTTCTTTCTCACCGATTTCCAAGTTTTCTCTCAGTTTCTAATGATTTCCTTTTTCGTGTGCCAAATGGAGTCACAGCACAGCACATCCACCGCAGAAGCTGAAGGAGGCCAGATACCCTGATACAGGTGCAAGTTCAAGGAAACGATAGGCTAAAAGTGATTGTCAGGGAGGATGCTGCTCGCTAACAACTTCTATTTTGGCTCCCTCAGCCTGCAAATTATCCTAACTTAAGACTACAGGAACCCATTTTCTAGCAAGTTACCACCACCTCTTTAGTCAAAGATGATTAACAAAATCCATGCTGAAGAGCTCTGAAAGAAATGCTTTGTATACCTTTTTTTTTAAAAAGAGGCACAAATTTTTATCCTTGCTCTCCATCTCCTCTTTTACATGCAGCAAGATCTGCCACACAAAAGACAGGTCATTCTGTTATCTTACCTATTTTAACTTGTAAGGGAAATAGTACTTACCTTTTTCATTGCCAGATACAACTGTGTAATCAATCAGTTTTCCCGAAGTTTCAACCACAGTAAAAGTGTAAATTAAATAATCCACTCCTGTGTTTTCCAAAACGGAAACGCTAATACAAAAAATACATGATAAATTACAATGTTAAAATTTCCCAGCGATTGTTCACTGGCAGGATTTAACATTTAACTCTTTAAGAGCAAGTTCTTTGTGGAAAATCCTGCCCCCTCGGCTCTAGCTGTTTGCTAGAGCTCACTGACAATCAGAGTGCAGTGCAAGCCCTACTTTTCTAGCCAGAGATTTGCTTATCCCTGAGTAAAGACTAAGGAGTAATGTTAACTAGTTCACAAGAGGAAAGGGACTAAGAGTCTGACTTATGCAAGCTGCACAATAAAGAAATAAAAGGTGATGCCTCACATCACATTCACAGAACCACTGACAGATTTTCTTAGACGTTTTAAGAAACCTGATGTCCTTCTGCATGGAAGAATATGAAAATTAACTTCAAGTTTCAACTTCATTATGTTTTTTGCTATATCTTCCACTACCTGGAGAATATATACCAATTACATAACTTAATATGAAAGCCTCACCTGATTTCACTCCTGTTAAACCGAGGAACAAATGGACGGTTGTCAAAAACATTAAGAGCAATCACAGCAGTGTCATTTAGAGATGGAGAGCCTTTGTCCCTAGCCATCACTGTTAAATGGATCTCTCCAGACCTAGGCAGGTTTCCAGTTGTAATTATTTTCCCCTCACTCAGATCTTCTATCAGGAAGAAAGGGCTGGAGTTTTGATCGGGGAGGATGTAGTACTCAATAAGGCCATTTTGTCCCTGCCATAAAAGGAACACAACTTCATGTAACTATTGCTTGCAGGACCACCTTATTTCAGTACCAAGTCACATAGTACCGACTCACCAGAATCTCAACATTTCCATGCTTGAATGGACAGAATGCCAGAGACATTTTAAATAACTAGAGAGAACTCAGCTCAGAACTACTTTGTGCTTAAGCTGTAATACAAGAGCAGCAGCAGGGAAAAGGGCCAATAGGCAGAGCATACACAGACCCCCCCCCCCCCCAATCAATTTTGATGTTCCAAGATCCAAAAAAATTCCCATAGCAATACTAAAGAAAACTACACGCACTGGGAGTACATTTTGAAGGGCAGGATAAACACTGAAAGAAGAGATTTGTCAATGTCTAAACGTCTCTAGTGAATTTATTTAGATGGTAGGGCAGTTGCTGATAAAAACACAAAGCAGAAGAAAACTCACAAGCAGTTGGCCAGTTACACAGTAAAAATGGGAAAAAAAAGTTCTCTAATGAAAATAAGTTAAGGACACACGTGGAGGGGGACAGTCAGAATAGTAAAAGAGGGTCATATAAAGGTGTGATGTCAACGAGAATAAGCCAAAGTCCCTTGAATCCTTTTCACATCTTGAGGAGAAGCACAGCCCCCTCAGTGCTGTGATGGGTAAGCCCTATTCTTGTCTGCCACCAGAGAGCTGGACACATTTTACTCTATGCGCATCACTTCACTTTCCCAAGACAAGCCATTTTGACAAACCCTTAGGGTTTGCTCTACTGCACTTGGCTCTTTATTTCTGAAAAGCATTGCATTCTGTTCTTCCCAGGCTCTGCAGCATCAAACCCTGCCATGAACTTCTCTTGTCACTAAGTAATCTGTGGATTTATAACTATTTCGGGAACAGGGAGGAATAGAGAAAAAAAAAAACCTAATAATTTCAGGGCTGGACTCTGCCCCAGAATCCTGAAAGGGTGGCACGTGAGGATGAGTGCCACTCTACATGGCAGAGGACCAGGCATATTACCTGAAGGATGAGTTTCATTAGGGTCTCAATGCAGATATCGCAGAGTCCCTCAACTTTCATCAGCAATTTCACTTTTTACACAAAATAATTGAGAAGGATAATAAAAAAGAGGCCATTAGATTATTTGCAGCAATATACCACAGGCTATTTTAACAAAAATTATGTGTGAAGAAATAGGAAGGCACCTGCAACACCTATTTTGTTGCTACTTTAAGATGTTTAATGTTTTAAATTATATAATTAGTAGTGATGCTGTCATGGTGATCTGGTTGACTACTGGATATCTCTGCCAGTGCCTGGATAGTACTTAATAAGTGCAGTACAGATATATCAAACAAAATTACTTTTAAAAATGGGGACAGAGAGAGTTAGCTGGGGTACCACACTTCAGAGGCATTTGGTAAGCAGACATTTCCATGTTCAATCCACCTATATGATGTTTAGCTTTTACAGACTCTTCTACTTCAGAAGTTCAAATAACTTCACGGACACTAAGTTGCTTCAGTCCTTGTATACTTCTGAAAGACTAGCATAATATGGGGGGAAAATTAAGGCAAACATAGCTGAAGAAACATGCGGAGTACATCAGTGTCAAGGCAGAAACATGTCAAGTCCTAATTTCCAGTTCCCAGTGCTGTTAATGAATCAGAATTCACTTTCTGCTACATTTGGCATTTCATACCTAGAGAATGTAGAAAAATATATTTGGGCTGCAGCTTAAAGCAGTGTCAAAATCAAACAGGAATAGTTACCTGATCTTTGTCGGTAGCGCTCACAGTTACGACATGAGCACCTACAGGATTTATCATGTTTATAGAAGCGGAATAGGAATTCTGACCAAATACTGGAGCATTATCATTCACATCAATCACTAGAACAGTAACATGAGTAGTTGCCTAGAAAACAAAATGGTTTCATGCATTTTAGAATATTTAAAATGTTTCAGTGATATTTTTTGTTATTTGCATATGCAACAAAAACATAAATTAGACTTTGAAAATACTGTAATACAATATCGTGTTAGGTTTAATTCTGTGAACTCAAAATCAGTGATTACTACAGGATTTTAATACAAGAGAGGCAGGAATTCAATGTTGCAGTAGGATTCTACTTTTTGAAAGGTATCTGAATGAATAAGAACATGATGTGTTCAGGAGGCCAACATGTCCTACACTGCTGCAGCTAAGGAAACCACACGTGTTGTAGTTCTGTTAAGTGTGGTTACCTTTCAAATAAAAGAAATACATCAGAACTAGAATAATTTGATGAAGATTACTTTTTCTCCCATGAAAAATCATCATGGCAATCACAGTATTAACAGCAGCAGACAAGGATTCCAGTTCCCCAGCAAGGGTAAATCTGCAAACAATCTCAGTCAAATTCTATGATGCATGATTATTAAGTATTTCAACTAATTATGGAGTATAATGCTACTCAGCAACAGACAAATGTCACAAAAGTCCAACCCTAAACATGATTAGGTGACAAATTTATTCTGCACAATAAATGTCTTTGATAGATCTCCCTCCCAGTAGTTCAAAATCCACTCTGAATAGACGAGTCACTGTTCATTACAATAATGGTCTTTTACCTGATGGAAAGGGGCAGATTTATTGTTGACTGCATTCACTATAAGGCTGTAAATATTCATGGTTTCATAGTCTGGAGAGTTCTTTATCTTAATGTTGCCATGTATTTCATCTATTTCAAATACATTTCCTCCACCACCTGAGATACATTTAAAGAAGCATTATTAATTAATACATCTTAGCAGCACATAATTAACTACACTCTTAAGTTATATGTTTACTTGTGTCTTGAGCTTATTATGATATTTTAAAAAATGTTTTAGTGTAGAAGAAAAACAGAAAATATTTTGAGTGGATGAGCATTTGAAATGTGAGCCAACAGAATGGGTTAACAGGTTTTGCAGATACATCTGTCACACTCAAAAAGTAATAGTGCTTGGGGCACGCAAATGGTGACGGACAGCACCTTGGAGTTCTGGGGCAAATCTCTGGAAGAAAGTTCCTCCAAGCCTGTCCAACTCTTAGAAATTAGAGGTGTTCTCAGGCACTTTTACACTCCTCTGACCTTCCGTATGTTCAGTCTCATGTTTTCTGGTTGCAACAGTCATGAAGCACTGTAACAGGACAGTGCTCCTGCCAAGATCGCTAAGAGGAGATGTCACTTAATTTATTCTGTCTCTAATGAAGGTCAACTGAGTGGCACACAGATCTGAAGAGAAATAATTTTGACTGCCAAAAGAACTGGCAGTGACTTTTACTGGTTTTGGCCATCCTTGTCCAAAGCCACCTCAAAGTCTCTACGCATATTGGAAATAAAAGACTCTAAAAACATATAAACTGTATACACATGGCTCTTGATGGTCCAACACAACAGAAACAACTATTTCAACTCATGCAGGCTATGGCCCGGAAGGGTCTGGAGAAGGCACTTTATATAAATAGCCTGGGAAGAGATCTGAGCTGGCAGAGCAGGCGACCTGTTGTCTGTTGTGGCACTTCTGCTGCAGAGGTAAAGGTGTCTAGCACAAAGGTAAAGACAACAGCTCTCCAGTGGCCCTCCATAGTGAATCAGGTCCCTGACACACTTGTGATACTATTTACATCTGCTCCTAGGAGCTGTGAAAACCTCACAGTCCACAGGCTGAGGAGAGGCTTTATTTAGCAGTGTCTAGTACCTGACACAGGCACAACAGGTTCTACAAGGCAGGGATTAATTAGGCTCTAGATCTTTATTACTCATTCAAGAAATCTATGGGCATTTTTTTCATCTCTGCTGATTGCAGCTATGGCAGTGGAGTAGCTAAAGATTTTTTTAAAAGCTGATTTTTAACAGAATTAAGAATATGATTAAAAAAACAACAATTTGTAGTTTCTGCAAAAGAAATTCCTACTCATGTGTTTGAAAGCTGTATGAGCATAAATCAGTAAAATACCAAACCAGGTAAAAGTGCACCTTCTTGGCTTATGTGGAAAGGGGTTAGGAGATAATACACAATGCTATTTATGCTCATAACAGCATAAACAATGAAGTGACAGTGAGAGAATTCCTTGTTACCTGTAAGGCTATATAGAATAAAGGAGTTGTCTCCTGTATCTCTGTCTGTTGCTGTGATTTTTCCAACTATGAATCCCACAGGAGCATTTTCATTTACACTGAATTCAGTCACTGGGTCAAAGACAGGTGGCCAGTCATTAACATCAATGATCTTTATGACAACTGTGCAGTAACCTCTTTTCTTCTCAGGGATTCCATCATCTTCAGCATAAATCACAAGCTGTAAGTTGCACAATTATTGGTAATGAGAAATCATATAAATAGGTACTTGCCTAAGGATTTAAAAATCTGGGTGAATTTTAAACTTTGGAGAATTCTTAGAAATGTAAACTCAAATTCTGAGTTCACCTCAAAATGATTATTGAAACTTAAAGAGTATTTGGTCAATAAAAAAGTCTTTCTATATAGAACCAACAAAATCACCAGTATTTTTGCTTGAAGCAAAATAAGATCATAAAAAATATCCAGCAGTGGCAGCAACAATAAAGATTAACTGAGAACTGTATCTGCAAGATCTCAGTCCAGTCCAGGTTCAAGCAAACAGACAACTCTGAATACATGAGCTGTCATTTTGAAGTTAGTTATTCATGTGCTGAAGTGTTTGAGTTTGTAGGACAGCTGAAGAATGAGCCTTGCTTGAATTTCATTACAATCTAAAGGCAATATCTTGCTTTAATAATGCATCACATCTTGAGATGCTCGCATTCTGAAACAATGCATATGTTCAAGCAATATCAAGCTAAACAAAAACAAAAGCATCAGCTGTTACCTTTTTAATAAAAGACTTAAGAAATCTAAAGCAAACCGTATACTCAGTAGGTTCCTCTTCATAATCAAAGGAGACAGTAGAGTAAAGAATTCCAGTTGCTTCATCTATCCTGAATTTTAGTCCATCTCCACTGAGAATGCCATACGTTAGGAAACCATTTCTACCTGTATCATTATCCTGAGCTCTCAGCTGGACAATCTGAGTAGCGGGTAAATTCTGTGGATAAAGAACAGATTGAGTCTGTCAGAGACTTTGGTTAGCTGTGATTTCTTGAATTATGTGAAAGGGGGGAAATAACAGACACCGTTACACTTAGAATAGTATAGACATTTTAAAATCAAAATTATACAACTCAGTACAGTAAGAGAATCTTTTGTGTTCTCTAATTGACAGAAAATAATTATTTCCTCCCTTACATCCTACCCACAGCAGCAATCTTCAGAAAAACAAAAATCACCGTGATTTCAAACAGGCCAAATGTTAACCTCAAGCATCTGATTTGCTGTTGAGGAATTATTCACGTTTCATAGCCTCTGCTCCTACAAACTCAATCGACGTTCTCACTTCAAAATCATGTTTCTTTCTGAACACTATTTGGCTAATAATTACTCTTTTCAAAATACATAATCTATTTCTTCCTTTTTAAAAATGTTATTTGCATTAAGGTTGACAGTAAATACCATGTTTCACGTACACAGCCATTTCAGACCTGGTCTGAAGTTATTTGATGCAACAGGGCATCCAGCAATTCCTACTGTGTAAATATTTTACATGAAAATAAATTTTTAAGGTTGGGAAATATGATTCTAACTCTTCTCCATTAAACTAACTGGGAACATTAAAACAGGTGTCATAATTAAACCTCTATTTAGCTCAATGTTAGAAATGGACTAGATTTTAAATCAGCTGTAGCTGTTAATGTCTGTGAATCAGCTGGGAGTCTCAAAGGCAAGGTACGTGCTATATAAAATATAAACACCAGCAATGTGCTGCTTTTCAAAAAAGTAGCTAACAGATTAAAGTGTGAAAAGTGTTCTTTGAAAATTGAAGAGAGAAATGTTGAGCTAGATGCTTTTGCATAATTAAATGCTGTGGCTTCTTTTATAGGCTATCATAACATAACAGCCACAGACTGAAAACTGGCTTGCTTTCTGCTACCGATTACTTTGTGTCAGGAAGAATCACAACAGATTGTACATGAGCAAGAGGAGAAATATTGCTAAATTAGAGACTTTTGCCTGACACTTTTCTGTATGAAGCTCCCTTACAAAAGGCTGTGTAAGAGTCTATGAGGTGCCCAGCACACCTACTAGATTTTAAATGCACATGAATATTCTCTGTGTACAAATACGCACAATGGAGTGGCTGTTTTTCCTTTGTGGAGCCCCTTATTAGTAAAAGATGCACTTTTCTGTCCTTCAGTATGCCCACACTTCGAGACCATTCGCTTCGTGCATTGGGATTTTCAGCTTGAAAGAAACCTTAAAACATCATATGGCAGAACAGAATGCCAAGCTTGTCCAGTTCCAGAATGTTTACTTGTATACTCACCAAAATATTTAATTATTATTATTTTTAAGATTTTTGTGATTCAGTTTGGATGACATTTTCTTACCTCTTCCAATCTTTCTTCTAGTAGAGAGGATGGGAAAACTGGAGGGAAATCATTTTCATCAATAACTTCCACATTCACAGAAACTTCATTAGCTATGCTAGTATCAGATGAATCTGTTGCTCGTACACTGAAAGTGACTGGAAAATCTTCCAGTTTCAAATTCTTTCTTGTTCTTACAGTACCAGTGGATGAATCAATAATGAAATACCCTTTTAAAAAAAACAAATTATTCTGTTTATTATTTTATTTGTTAAAACTGAAGATATGAACCCTTCAATGCAAACTATACATAATGTATAGGAATATTGTATGTTACAGTATTCTTCAAAGAACAAAATAAAATTCAGCACAGATTTATGAGAACGTCAGATGTATCAAGCACTGTAATTAAGAAAAACAAATAATTCAGAAGGTCAGAAAGGAACCAAAGTGTTCACTCCACCACTCTCCAATCAGAAGGCCTTCACCTTCCTCTGAAACAGTCAGATTATTTGTCCTTGCTTCAGTCAAATTATTTTACTTCCTATGAAGCCCTGCTCTTACTGAAGATGAGGAATTCTGCAAATAACTTCAAGGAAACCACATCTTCATACAAAACATTTTACAAAACAAACAAACAAAAAACCCCAAAGTGACTATGTTCAATGATACAATAAAGCCAGCTTAGTAAAATCAGTTTAGTAAAAAAAGACACGTGACAAAGCACTGATCCAGTTGTTCCCATGTAAACTCAGTCTATGCATTCACGTTTGTTAAGAAAATGTTGCAGAGTTAGTTTTTCTACCAGCAGTCTTTATGCTGAATTAGGTATTCTTTCTGCAGTCACTGTAACTTTATGCCTGATCAGGTACCACCTGATCTTCCTGAAGCTGACATAAAAAAGCATACAGCTGGTACAGTCAGCTCTGTATGGTGTGGCTCTGGCTAATCTGACAGAAATTCAATTATGTGCCCACACCTGATCCATATTGAATTTGTACATCTGGTTGATACACATCCAGTATTAATGGCTGTAGGATGGAGATAAAAGCAAAAGGAGAGGGAGAAGAAACAATCCAAAAACGCAGTGCTCTGCAGCACTAGTCGTTTAACACCCTCCTGTTATTTCGCATAAAGCTTACCATTTCCATCTCCAGATACAATACTGTATATCACAGGGACCTTATACAACACACTGATCTGCACAACAAATGTATCTGGCAGTGTTTTCTCACTCAGAGGGGGAGGCTGATAGACTGCTTCAGAGAACACCGGGAATGAAATGCTGATAGGAGCTATCGTTATTGACACCTGCAGAGAAAAGGACACAACCACAGGGGTTATGTTTGCAGGTTTAGCAGACTTTTCTATTCAGGTATGCAACAGCAGAAGTCCAGAACTTTGTCAGTAACAAAAAGCCTATGATTGCTGCATGCTGATTTTGACATATTGGCACCTTGAAGGCAGAAAAAGTTAGCGAAATATGGCAGCAACCTCATCAGTTTAGGTTCACCTGTATGCTTTCCTAAATAGAGAGGGATTCCAGTTCATCGCATATGATTTAAAAGTTCCTGCTCTGGTCATACATTCTCCAGTGGATGAATTTGTTGCAAATACAGACCAGTATCTCTTTTCTGAGAGCTGTTTAGCTAGACAAGTAATTTGATTTGAGATGTGCCGTGAGTTTTTTTTAATTCTGCTAAGCTGTGATATTTAGTGGCGAGCCAGTTACAAGCACTGTGTAAAAAATTCTTTCTTTTATCATATTTACATTTCTCAGTCTTCAGTTTGGAATTTAGTTTTTCTTATGTCATAGGAAAATAAACAGGAACCCCTATTTGCTGACTCCTGTTTATCACACACTTCCATTACATCCCCTCTGACTCCTGCACTCTTTGACCTTGCACAGAAGTCTCCACTAATCTCAGTCTAGAGCTTCTGTCTTTCTTTTCTGAAATAAAATAATCAAAACAAAGACAGGTAATGTGCCAGCAATTGCTATAGCAGCATAACATTGTAACTGTTATCATCTTGTATCCTTTTCCTGAAACAGGACTCTGACATTCTGATTCCTGTTTTGCATAGTTTTGCCTCACTAATACCCATTTCCTGGTGTAGTTACTCTCAGTTTAGAACAAAACAATCTGAGGAATAAACTGCGCAAGTAGACACTAAGGTAAAAATTTTATTACCTTTACAGAAGTTGAAAGAGGTGGCAGACCTGAATCTGTAGCAGTGACCATCAAGGAGTAATACAGAGGAACAGTCTGTTTGGATAAGTCTCCTGTCAATATGAGTTCTCCTGTGGTACTGGAAAGACTAAAGAGGCCATCTGAGTTTCCACCTGAAGAGACATAGAACAAGTGTTGGAGATGTTCAACGGAGCCAGCAGAGACTAGCAACTCAATTATATGCCCAGGATTTAAGAGACAGTTTGAAATCTTTAATTTGTGTGTGTGATTTGGAGTGAAACACCTGGCCTCTCGTGATTCTGCATCTGCATCACAGAATCATTTGGGCTGGAAGGGCTTGTGAAACCTCTAGTCCAACCTTGCACTCAAAGCAGGGCAATGAAGGAATTCAGAGCAGGCTGCTCAAGGCTTTGATCCATCAGGTGGTGAAGACCTCCACGGATAGCCTCTCTGGGCCACCTGTTCCAGTTATCCTCATAGAGGACTTTTTTCCCCCCCCATTATATCCAGTCAGAAGCTATCACTTCAATTTACAACCATTGTGCCTCACTCTTCTGTCAAGCAGCTTAGTTTAGCAGTATGCAAGTAACCCAGTAGTAAAGACCTTTACAATTTTTTTCTAACGTACCTGAAATACTGTAGAAAATGCCTTCATCGTAAGCCCTGCCTTCATCTCTTGCGTTGATGTCTACTACCAGCGTGCCAGCTGTAGAATTGTCTAGAAGAATCTGGTAATATGAGGGCTTGTCAAATATGGGTCCTTCTTCATTAACATCCTCCACCGTAACTAAGAAAAGAAGGTCCATGTCTGAGTGTAAATGTGAGTTCCACCTAAATGGTTACAAGCTATTTCTTCAGCTAATGTAAACCAGCACAGCTCCTCTGAATTGAGTTGGAGCTTTTTCAATTTAAACCAGATGACAATGTTGTTTTCTGTACTTCAGAACACTTGCCTTTGTGGATTACATTATTTACTGCTCAAGCAATAGTTTCCCACAATGGCTGCATTTCTGGCCAGCATACTGTCACTACTATCTGCCATGAATAATATCATCTTATTGTTTTGCCTGGCCCCCTCCTGTGTCCGTATTCATCTAGTATCTCTAGTATTTGGCTTAGATTGCCAGCACTGGGAGACCAGATTGCTTAGTTTAATATTTGTACATGACCTGGCACAATAGGGTCACGGCCCACAATTAGGGAAGCTGGCCATACAGTAACATAAATAACACAGAACAACAAGTAACGGGACCAATGCTTCCAGTCATACTGATCAAAACTAAGGCTAGCCAAAAACTAGGACAGAAGCTTCATAGAAATCTTTTATGTTGTGTTGGGAAAAAAAGATATTTTTTTTTTCAGGAAAAAAAACAGCAATCAAACACTGTTATTTTAACGGCAGTAAAAATCATTGTCAACATTTTTTTACTATCCTAGAAGCAGGCTTTCTGTAAACAAGCAGAAAAAGAACTAAATTAAGTTTTTGGAAACATTTTCAATCAAAATGTCAATAGGTACTCAAAAAATGGCATAGAAAAATTTGTGATTACATTGAAGTAAGTAATGTCAGTTTGTGTGAAAAATACTCGTTTTTGACAAGCCAAACATTTTTTTTGAGAAAAATTTCATTTGGCTATAATCACATTAAAATTTCTGAGAATTTACTTTAGTAGACTGTACTACTACTGAAGGTTATCTTTATGCCTCATAATTACACATGCTGAAATACTTCCTAATGGAAATGAAGGTAAATTTTCTGTGATAAACTAGAGCTACCTGTAATGTTTGCTGTGTCCTGGAGATCTGGCTCTCCAGGATTGAAAGCTTTCAGAATAAATGTATACTGGGAACGACTTTCATAGTCCAGAGGTTGAAGAGTTGTAATATTTCCAGAAAGTTCTCCAACATGAAATGAAGAAGCCTCTCCAATTACGGTGTAATGAATAACGGCATTGTACCCTATATCTTTATCTGTGGCTGCTGCACTCAGAATCTAAATGAGGACAAAAAAAACAAACCAGATTTAGAGCAGAACCCAGAGAGTGACAAAACATACACACAAGACTGGTATTTAACTATATGGTGTTTACTGACTGAATTACTCGTGTGGCCATTGACTGCATTGCTAGATCACTGACACAGCATACAGCAGGGCTGGTACCAGACATTACACATTCTTAGGTGGTACCTCTTCCCTTGACTCCTGTAAACCATTAGTTCACGCCTGCAAGGCAGATATGGAGCCACAAATGGATACACTGGAAGAAGACAGAAAACCTTAAGAACAGGGGCACGCTGGATATATGCACAACATCTACAACATCTTTAAAACGTGCTGTCCTGTGAAAACTAGATCCATGCAGTGTGGCATCACTGCTGGGGACAGGAGGGAAAGGGAGAGCAGCACAAAGAGAGCTTGAGGAAGAGCCAGTGGGATAGGCACTCCACTATCATATAAAATTAAAATGCTGTGTGATTTTACAAACTCCGTAAGTAAAAATATATGCTCACCAATGCACAGTCATCATAGATTACCACCACTTCCAGGTTTACATAAAGAAACAGCTGCAGAACAGCCCATTTATTCTTAATGCCACATACCACATGTGGAGGCTCATTTTCTTTTATGGTCACTGAGTACGATTTCTGAGGGAACACTGGTGGGTTGTCATTCACATCTTCTACAGTGATGCTCAGAACTAAGCTTGCAGATTGTGGTGGTCTGCCAGAATCAGTGGCCTGTGAAGAAACAGCTTGTCATTAAATGCAGCACTATGTTGATACAAACTTATTTAATCAGTTGAATTTTGTTCAAAAAATTGTGAAAGAAAACTTTGTCTCAGAAGACTTTCTGCTGGACCAGTTACCACCCAGTGACATTGCTCCAGCCCTGTGCTTGATTAGGTGTTGCAGGTCTTCCTGCAGCTGGTATCCTCACCATAGCTCATGCTCTGCCTCATTTCATGAGCAATTAATCAAATGCTCAAGCCTGGATCCTGGTCAAATATGTCATGTGGTCAGATGTGGTCCGAAGCAACATAAAACCATGGTATAAAGATGCGTATCTGTGATGTGGCATTTAAAAGAATAAGGAAATCCCTTGCATTTTGAGGGCTTCAAGTGTCTACAAAGCAAGCTGTGAGAGCAGCTAGTGTGTGGCAAATTAACAGTACAGTTTTACATCACACTAACATCCGCCATAGAAAAGTGCTCATCTATAGACACGTATACAGTTCTCAAATAGTGTTAAAAACTGTCCACTTTTTTTAATTCTAAAGTTTTCAGAAGACACTGTTCAGTTTTTAATACGTTTCCTTGTTGTCCTGAACATGTTCCACAAATTCCTTGACCTGTTAAAGTAATTTAGTCAGCAGTAAAGATTTCCTTAAAATATATTTGTACACGATGGCCAATGCTGGGACGCTTCTTTGTATCCACAATAATCTACCTGATTATTAGCAGTAAAAATCAATGAAATGAGCTAGAATAAATAGATACCCACATGAATGTTAGATAAAACTTTATACTTTTTTTTTTAACTTGGAAATCTATATTTCAGGTATTTTAAAAAGGTCTAAGAACATATATTATGAAAAATGAAAAAATAAGGGAAAGGGACAAAATATAGATTAGCAAAGCAGTAAAAACAACACAGTAGTATGGCAGCTGCATGGTCTAAACTGGACTCAGGAATGCTTTGCAGATTTCACAGTAAACTATCATGTGACTATGACCTTTAAGATCTGATGTTCATGGGTCATTTATTCACTAATACCAATTTACATAGCAGAAAACAAAGTTCTGGGCGCAAAATGTAACCAACAGTCAAAATTAATAAGTTCTAATGGAATTCACTAAGATTGTTTTTCTTATGATACCACGTTTTCTATTTTTTATGTTGAGAATTTTGTGAACTTGCATCAAATTTGTCAACTTACTATTATTTTCAATTCATAACTGTCCATCATCTCTCTGTCCAAGGACTTTTTTGTCATCAGCTTGCCCGTGGAACTGTTAATATGGAATATTCCAGCAAAATCATCTTGCAGAGAGTAGCTTATAAATGCATTAACTCCTATATCCAGATCAGTAGCAGAAAATATGCCCAGGTCTAGATTAGCTACATTCTCAGGAGCTGACAGGTTAGTTTGAATCCATGTTGAGAAAACTGGAGGATTGTCATTGATGTCATTAACTCTCACAGTTACCTGTATTAAAAAAAAAAAAAAAAAAAGACATATTTGAGCTGCAGAAATAGCATCCAAAGGAGAATTTTGATTCATTTTAGTTTATGGAAGCCTACAGGAAAAAACACCCAACTAATCAATAAAAGCAAAAAAAATCTCACAAAAACCAAAGGGATACATAACAACTTAAGCATTTTTCAGCATTTGAGCATTTTCATTTTCACAGCTTCTGCACCTCAGCATTTTTATATTTTTTTTATTCTCAACTGCTACAAGTGAGATAACGTATACTCTGACTGGAAGAGATGAGCAGAATTAATAATATGGGGCTTTTTGGCTCATCTACCTTGTGCATTTGACAGAGCAATACACAGAATCAGTTTCAGTGTTAATCAGCTTCTCTAGTTATGAGTTGTTTGCAGAGGAACTCTCAGAAAGTGACACAATTTTGAAGTTGACAATATTTCAAGATGGCAATATCTTCTCAAAAAAAGGGAAATTAAATAAAAGGCTCTCAAAATACTCATGCTTACATAACAGATGATGCTTATCTGGACATTACTTAATTTTTAAATATATTTTTAAAAATATTTCATATTCCTTTTAAAAAGATAATTTAAAATGCAGTATACTGTACCAAAGCAACAGCTGTATTGGGTGGCACCACAGAATCAACAGCTTCTACAACGATGCTGTATAGGTCTTTGTCTTCTCGATCCAGCATGGCAAGAGCCACAATGTTTCCTTGGTCACTAACAGAGAACTTGTCACTATGAGATTTCAGAGAGTACACTACTTGTATGGCTGCGCTTCCAGTCAAAGCCTTCACAGAGCCAACAGCGGTCCCTGACGGTTCATTTTCTTGAATGCTGAACTCGTAGCTGGAGCTATCAAACATCAGTCCGAAGCTAGCATCATTCACCAGCAAGTACAGAGTAACAGAGGCTAATATGGAAAACAAATTAAAATAGTGAAGTTACTGCTAAAATCATCACAATCTGTGCTCTATTTCCTTAATTTTTTGAGGAACTAATAGAAAAGGACAGAAACTGGCAAGTAGGAAAGAGGAACGAGAAGAGAAGAAAATAAATAAAATCAATAGTAATAAGGATTAATATGTAACACGTAAAACACTATGCGTTTTTACACCTAACCTATGTTCCAGAATAACCACACTTCACAGATCACAGCAGTGTTGCTTCAGTTTGAAAAGAGAGCAAGGATCAGCAATTTGAAGTTAATGGGATACGCAGGTGTTTTCCACCCCCTAAATATCTTACATTAAATTGCTTTGTAACAAAAGAGAAGGGATATACATAAAACCATGAGTGAAAATTCTGTCAGGGCCACTCATCCTATTTTAAGAAAATCAGTTGTTTCTCCTGTTCATGATAAATAAAAGCTAACCCCTAAAAATACATGAAAAAATTACAGAAAATAACATGTGGCTGGATATTTTTTGCAAGAGCAGAGACTTGTTTGGAGGGTTATTTGCCAGTTTCTAATTTGTTTACATGTTTTTAACTTTAAGAAAATAAAGGAAAAACTAAAGAGAAATAGATTATATCAATACTATTTTAATACATCTTTTTGTAATGGTTACTACCATGAAGTCCTGTTTTTTGTACCATAAGCACCACTGCAAGAAATAAAAAAAAATTATTTCTAACCAGGATTACTAAACCAAGCTTTCTGGTTAATATGATCAGCTGGGAGGAAATCAAAAGGTAAAAAACAAATATTCATCATTGCTGAAATGCAACATGGGTTTTAGCCCTAATTCATTTTGACTTGACAGCGATGGGATTAATGTCAGATTTCAATGTTTGCAAAGGTTACGTTTATGTGGGAAGGGGACAAAAAAAAAAAAAAAGATATAATTTACCATTTGATGTAAGCTGAGGAACTCCATGATCAGTAGCAATAACTATCAGTGTAACAACTGTGTCAGCTGTGATATGGTCCAAGTTACTGCTGAGGGTGATTTCTCCAGTGTGGTTATTTATACAGAAATCATCAGAATCATTCATGAGGCTGATTAAAGAGAAATAAATGTAACATACACATTAATGACCTTGGAAGTACCATCTATTTACCCTTACCTTCTGTAACAAGCACTCAACAGACAGTATTTGCCTATTTATAAAGGATGGCTAAGCGACAGGTTTTAATTGCTGTGTCATTAGCCTAAATATATTGGCCTCTTTATTTCCAAGCATGCCTTCCGTCATGAAAAAAGGCAGCATTCATGCCTTCAGTTCCCAAGCCTTTGATCCTCCCATGGATACAAGGCAGACACTGCACACACAGCTGCATATTCAGCAATATAAGAAATCCAGGTGACATTCATCTGAAGACTGCTGACCAGCTAATTCCTAGTGTTCTGCAAACTCCCAGACATAACTGGAATGCTCACAAGAAAAAGTAATGTATTTAAGCCAGAATGCCATCTCATAGTTAAAAATATTATCTTTCAAGACACTCGTTTTAAACACCCATAGTTTACTGACTCTTTCGTCTGTCCTCAATCTATACTTCTCATGTCAAGGTATCCTGGTATTTTCCATGATATAGGGCTCATACAAAAATCTTTCTCAATTTTTTAATACATAGTGCATTCTGACAGTTAGTATTTCTTGATCGTCTCCCAGCAAACAGAAAATGTGTGAAAAGACAGTCATTTTTGGAGATTCATTTACTTCCTACTCAGAAACTCCAACATATTATTCAAAGTTTCAGAAACTCAAACAAGTCTTGGCTTTTGGTTCTTGTTGACAATTTTATAATTTGATTGCATTCTCTTTCTTACAGCATAATCATGATTCAATAAGCTGTAAAACACAGTAATGACTGCCCTTTTTCCTAAGTTTAAAAATCATTGCTTATTGTAGCACTTGTAAAATATCTAGGAACAGGTCTTATCTTCTAATAACCAATAAAAATACTTTGTGAGAAATAAAAATACCCTTCTGTTTAACAAAAGATACTTATTAACCTCACAGAAGTTTACCTGTATGAAATGACAGAATTATCCCCAACGTCAAGGTCAGTAGCAGACAAGAATAGTACAGACGCTCCTTCTTTTGCTGTTGCTACACGTACACTGGCTGAGTATCGTGCTTTAGTGAACTGAGGAGGGTTATCATTCACATCTAATACTTGAATGCCGACATATGTGAAATTCTGGTGTGTGACAGCAGAAAACCATGATTCAGAAAATACACACTTAAATTTATGAATAAAAAGAAGGTGCAAATAAAGAATAATGTGTTCCTCTCTATTACCTGCCTTTGAGGTACTCCATTATCAGATGCCACCAAGAGCAGCTCATACTTCTCTTTAGTTTCTCGGTCAACATAGCCATTAACCAAAATGGTTCCATCCTAGAGAAGGTAATATGGTTCAATGCACAGACCATTTTGATAACTCTTGTACACCAAGTTCTCAAAAAAGTGAGGGACTGAAATCCTCTGTTCTCCTTTGGACAAATATAGTTCATATTCCAAGCAATGTCTGATCAGTAAGTCTTATTTTTTTGAACACTGACATATATTTCTGAACTACAGAGCATGTGTTGGTTTTGATTTCATGTGTACTGGAATGATACTGCCTACTCTTTTTACCTGATGTAACTTACTACCTTAAGTAACTTCATGAAGAGCAGTATCTATTTTTTTTTTTTTTTTAGCAAATCCAAACGCTTACCTGTTGGATGCTGTACGGATTATCCCCATCCCCAGCTGATAAGTAATAAGTAATTCGTGCATTCTCTCCTTCATCCAGATCAGTAGCAGTCACATGCCCAACTACAGCAGGAGCACCCAACATGTAATCTCCCTCCAGAATTGCAAAACTGTATGGCTGCATCTGGAACTCAGGGTTATTATCGTTGACATCCAGAACAGTGATGTGGAACAAGGCACTTGAATTAAGCCCATTCATTTCAGCATCAACTGCCCACACCTGCCAAAGTAAGAAACAAAAATTGAATTTCAGTTGACTGTGTTGCCATTTTAGCCACCTGATGAAGGCACAAAAAAAACTTCAAGGGAGTGAAATATAAATGAGCCAAAGCTACTGAGTCTGTCCCCAAATTTACTTGTAAAGTGTATCCAGAAGCAGTCTCCCTGTCCAGTTCTGTGTTGTTCCTTAATGAAAGTATTCCAGAGATATCCACAGTAAACAGGGTACTGTTATGAATAAAGTGTCCCTGAGAAAAGCCAGCCTAAAAAGAAAACATAGTTCATTTAAGGTTAAAATGATGAATATTTAAGTTAAAAAAATAATTTATTAATACCTGACATTTCTATAGAACTTCTCGTTGCAGAAGTACAAGTGCTTTGCAAGGTTTAATAAATGAAATGTTGCAACATGAGATATGGGAATAATGGACTTCTTTGGCAAACAGAAACTGGGGTAGGTGGAAGCCCTTGTGGGCTTCCCTATTTGGGTCCTACATACTCCATTCCTAAAGCTCTCTAAGACCAATCCTCATGATGCAAGGAGCAGCAATACACAGTTCAGTGCAGTCTGAAGTGGGAGAAGCATTTATGCTTCTTTAAAATTGACATGAGCAAAAATATTATAGCAAATCAGAAATCTCTTACTCCAAACCAGCTCCCCAGTGCCATGGCTACATATGAAATTTCTTTATAAAACAAACGGAGAAAGAAATTACTTTTCATAAAGCAGAGGGAAATTGTAATTTCCTATTAAAGAAGAAACTATATAAGCTTTACAAAGTGCCTTTCTCCCTGACTAAGCTGATAGTAAGGGCAGGTTGACTGCATTACAACAATGCACTAACAAATATTCTCAGATAGAAGCAAGTTACCAAGCAATATTAAACCCGAATTGATTATTTTGAAATAATAAGCAATAACAAAGAAAAAAAAATTTCTCTCTATCTGGTGTGATATACATGCATTCATCTCATATGCATATGCACAGAAAAAAATCAACTGTCTCTGTCCTGGATTACATATGTATAGGGAGATAAGCTCTCCTTAGCTTCTCTGACATAGCCAGTAAACTATTTTGTACAAGGTCTTAACTTCCTTGGATAAGGAAGTTTTATTGCTGGCTCCATATAAAGCAAGATGAAGTTTTAGTGACACAAAATGTATTTATTGCCAATCATTTAAGAAATCTCCCTTTGCCCATCTAGTACTATGCTTTTTTTGCAGGTTAACAGAGAAAAACGTGATTTTGATTTATCAGGATAAGTTTAATTTGGTACCTACCTCATCCTTGTCAGTAACACTGAATGTGTAGATAGGACTACCCTTTTGTAGGTTTTCAAGCACAGATATATCATAAGCTGCCTGATTAAATTCTGGTGGGTTGTCATTGACGTCTAGTACATGCACAACAACAAGTGTCGTAGTGCTGAGACTTGGCTGCCCTCCATCTGATGCTTCCACTTTTACTTCAAATTGCTTTATGGTTTCATAATCCAGCTGCTGGCTCAGGCTGAGCTGGCCTGTGGTCAAACTGAGAAGAAACACCGGTGAGGAGGTTGGAGGTTGCTGGCTAACAATTCTGTACTTCACGAGAGCATTGGCCCCAGCATCCAAATCAGTAGCAGATACTGTCAGCAGTGCCCTTCCAAGCACTTCGTCTTCAGGGACACTCACTTCGTATCTGCTTGATGAGAAGACTGGAGGATTGTCATTCACATCGTCAACGATGACTGTCAAATTGAGAGCCGTAGACAGCCTGGGTTGGCCTTGGTCACTAGCAATCACTGTTAAGTTATAGAAGCCTTGTTTTTCTCTGTCCAGCTCCTTTTCCAGCAGAATTAATCCCGAGGTGTCAATATCCATTTTTCCTTCTCCGCCTTTCAAAGTATAAACCACTAATCCATTAAGGCCCTCATCCACATCCGTAGCTGACACACTGGTAACACTAGTTCCAGCTGGCATGTTCTCCAGAATGGTAACTGTAGTGCTGGTTATACCAAACACAGGACTATTATCATTGACATCTGTAACTTTGATAAACACTGTAGCATAGTCAGTAGCATTTCCATCTGACAAGGAAATATTTAGTATGTAATTTTTCTGGGATTCATAGTCCAGTTTGGTTTTTGTCAAGATGATTCCATTGACATTGATGTCAAATGTAGCAGATTCCGTCAGTACTTGAAATGTAACCGGTATATGGGGATTTAAAGACTCATACTCTACCTGTGTAAGATACAGCATATTGTCCATAAATAAATCAAAACCAATAACCCACTGTCTAAAAAAGAATAATGGTTTTAACTATGTCCAAACTAATTTTGTTTGGTTTTTTTTATTTTATTTTTTGATCAAAATGATGAGCAAGTTCTAGAAAATGCCTTTATGACAGTTCTCTGATAGGAATTTTCCATTTCCTAGCTATATCATGTCACAGGGTTTTACATTTATCACCAACACGAGTGAACATTGCCTGTCCAAGCCCTTGGGCCACTATAGGCTTTGGAAAATGTCCAAAGTCAAAAACAGGCTAACCATGAAAGTTTACTGTTTGGGAGTGGTGGTGGTGGTGTGTGTGCTGTTTTTTCTTTTTGTCATTTTTCTTTGGTTTTTGGTTTGGTTTTTTTAACATTAATGGTCACAGATGCTGTTTAAAGGTTTGCAACGGAAGGACTAGGTTTCGTGGGTGATAGACTTATGTGAGGGATGGAGTCAGTAGATAATGTATATGAAGCTTGATATGCAGAAAAGAAAACACAATATCTAGTTATCCAGGGATAGAGACGTTTAGAGCACATATATTACAGGATTTTCTTGTAGCTGTCATGTCCTATATAGGTGATAGAATAAAGTGTTCTTACTCTTGCTACTTCAACAGGACTGTCTAGCTCTTCTTCCACAGACACGTTATATGTTTTCTGAATAAACTGTGGTCTGGAATCTCCAGCTGCTGAGATTTTTACTGGCACTGATGAACTTCTTGGAATCATCCCACCTGCAAACAAAAGAAAACAATCCTCCCAGCAGATGCACAAAATACCTTCTGTCTTAAAAAAAAAACCAAAAAACCACACACCAAAAAAACACCACAAAACTTTTTCACTGGTACTTTTTTTTTTTTCTTTTAACCCTTACTGCTACTATTATGTTACTGCTGAGAGGTCCTAACCAAGATCAGTTTCATGTATTGGGTGTTACACTTACAATATATGAACCTGAATACACACAACAGCATTAACACAGACAGACAGACAGACTAAAGATGGACTGATGAATCTCTTTTGTAACCGCATTCCCTCCAATACTCATTTTATCCACGCAGCCATAAATTTGAAGACACAGAGTTCATATTGACCAAGTCAGGGGAAAAATTGTGAGGTTGAAAAACCACTTTCTATGCTCGTGCTACCAGGAGTGGGATACCATTCCTAGGTTACATTTATCTCTGTCCTCATCCAGACAAGGAATGTTCATCAAGTTCTCTGTTATTCCTTCAAAGCAAAGAAACCCTCAATAAATATGGATAAGGAAACAAAATTGGTGCCAGTTATCCTAAAAATGGCTTTGGCATCTCCATTTTAGTTTTTCAATACCCACGTGGATGTGCAAACAAAGACCAAGTTATTGATCACATTTTACTTTCATTTTGCTCCCTGTTGACTGATGACTGAATTATCAAGTCCTAGCTTGTGCCTGGATCTCTCCATTCTATGCTGTGCAACACCAGTCAATAATTAAGTTAAAGGAAAATGTGAGTTGCTTGTTATTTTGTACATTCTTCCCACAGCCCTAAAGAAAACTTAGATTTGATATAATAGCATCAGCAGGAGGCAAAGTTTTACCAGAGATGGAGCAATTACTTTGGATGAACAAGATAGCTTTCTTCTTATCTTCAAACAAGAGCAGATAAAAATATATGGTATTTTTTAAATAAAGTCTGGGAAAGTATTTTGACAGCATTCCTTCAAGTGAAAACCAAAACCAAACCAAAACCCATCACTGGAAGTAGCTGTGTTGACCTATACAAAATCTTGTCTTACCATCAATAGCTGTTATCCACAAGACAAAGTTCTTAAGCTGGTTAACTCCTAATGGGATTACTGTTTTTAAACTGATTTGTCCTGTGGATTTATCCAATTTAAAGTATCCATCTTCACTGTCATCAGCTAAGATAAAGCTTATCTCTCCATTTATACCATCATCCGGATCAGCAGCAGCAACCTGGAGGAAAAAAAAAACCAAACCAAAAACAAAAAACAAACTTTAGTTTCTTTTGCTGTTATCAGGTAACACAGAATTGCTTATTTTTGTGCAGAGCAAATAATTCAGGTAGCAGAAAATTACAAATTACTTGTGTTTTTTCTCTCATTTATAGTAAATAATAGATCTGGATAATTTTATATATATAAAAATCAGCTAAATATAGCCACAGTAAAATTGTTATACCTTTAACTGACTGTCTACTGCCTATATGATTCCTGGGTTAAACCTCAGTAAGAGTGTTTGCTGTTCGATGCAGACACAGGGTCATTCCAACAGTGAGAGTAAAATCCTGCCACTGTAGAACACATGTGAATGACACCAAGCCTGTATCTCAGAAAGCTTGTTTCATAGTAATTAAAGTCACTAGATGTAGATTGTTCAAGAGATTACATCAGCAGCCATTAAACCAGTACCATCTGTGTATGAGTTTTGATAGTGACTCCCTATATACCTCAGCTCCTGAAGCCATTTTTATCTTGGTTTCCTGTTTTATTTGGTTAACTGGGTTATTATCTTACAAAAAGTATATTGTATCTAAAAGTTATCCCCAATGTTCCAGCACTCAGCAGCCTTTCAAACATTTTTATGATTATTTCAGTTTCTGGACTCTAACATCATTGAGTTTTCATTAAACACCTTACAATGACTAAATCGAAAGCGAATATCACTCCAGTCTTCAAG